TATAAATAGTCAACAAATATATGAAAAGATGCTCAACATCGCTATTAGGGAAATGCAAATCAAAACCATAATGAGATACCATCTCATACCTGTTAGAATGGCTATAATCAGCAGGACAAGTAATAACAGATGTTGGAGAGGATGTGGAGAAATAGGAACTCTCATACACTGCTGGTAGGACTGCAAATTGGTATAGCTACTATGAAAAACAGTATGGAGTTCCTCAAAAAACTAAGAATTGACCTACCATATGATCCAGCAATCCCTCTACTGGGTATTTACCCCAAAGACTTGAAAACTCATATCCAAAAAGATATTTGCACACCGATGTTCATAGCGGCATTATTCACATTGGCCAGGACATGGAAGCAACCAAAGTTTCCTATGATAGATTGGCTAAAGAAACTATGGTACATATATACAATGGAATATCACTTCCTTATTCTTAACAGACTTCTACAGCACTTCCTGCAAATATTGAAAAAGAATAAATCATGATTTATGATGGAATGGGCGGGTGCATGGTAAAAAGGAATGTCTAACTTACACGAACTCAATTCTTCTTCCTTCATTATGCCTAGCATTTTTTGAAGCCAATCATACCCAAGTGTTGCTATTATTCAAGTAATTATCACAAAAACATGAACAAACAAATTCATCTCACTTTTGGAGTATTTTATCCCAAAAGATATATCCCTAAGCCACATGAATTTCTAGTATAATATACAGCAGTGAATGACTGAGTAATGTTTAGTTAAAAATGTATACCATTGAATTATATTGAAGGTTAAAAAAAATTATTCAAGTGATATAAAAAGAATGTACTGCACCTTCCTAATGTAAATGCACACAAACTAATAAAGTATTTAAAAAGAGAGAAAAAATAGTGAGCTGTTGGCCACAGATCGAGAGAATAGTAGGTTTTATTTCCCGTTTTATTTTTCTATATTTTTATCACTTCATTTCACTGGAAGAGCTTCTGTAATTTAAAAAAAAAAAAGTATTTTATTAAGGATTGCAAATATATTGATTATATAATTGTACATACAATCCTGAAGCTGTGCTACTCAAGTTACATACATGACTATCTTAAATATATTAATACAATGCTAAAAACAGAACTTTAAAAATGCATCAAATCGCTTTATAGAAATATACTCATGAAAATGAATCAGGATGAATTTTTTTATAGGGCAAATAGATACTTTGTAAACCTGTAACATTTGGGATCATAGCAAAAATGGTATTAGGCTCCTTTTTAATGAGTCAAATTATCTCTTTGACTTACGGAAGGTTAACATCAAAATACATTATTAAATTGAATAAAGAAGTGAATAAAAGAAACCTCTACCCAGCAAAAACAAAACTGACTGAGTGAATTATATGAAGTCAAATTTTATTTTTAAAAATGTCATTTAGAATTAAAATATACACTAAAAGAAGCCGTTTGGTAAAACAGTGAAGACCTAAAAAAACGGTATGTTTGTATGCGTGTGTGTGTGTGTGTGTGTGTGTGTATTCATTTTGGGAAATATATTTTGAAATGCTTCTTGGCAAAGAATATTGTTCCTATGGACTGGAAAATTACTAAGATAAGGTTCTCCTCAGGTAGCCAACAATTTTATATAAAAACAGTAGATGTGTTCAGCTGGTTAGAAGTGTTAGCGTACTCTGGAAAATGTTATTGAATGTAACTCTGGGTTTCATGAGTGAATGTGTAGAAAGCCAATAGAAAAGACATATATATTGAATAATATAATTTAATTTACCTAGATTATACTACCCCAATCACAGCTACATGCTATGAGGAAAACCTTTTCTTTAAAAAAAAAATTGCTTCAAGAGGGGTAAAAAATATATATAATAAAGATAACTATTTAATGAGGTATAGGTCAAAGTAAATAACCAAGCAAAGTCATTTCTAATTTATAAATCAGTGTTATCCCTTCTTTTAAATTATCTCTAATTTACATAATATCTAATATAATTGATAGTATATATAAGCTATATATACAAATATAAGTATATAAATATGTACTATAATTAATAATATATGTAAATATATAATATCTAAAATAATGGGTACAGCCATACCAATGTGTAATGCAAATATCAGCATTCTGTCTGTATGTAAAAATATGACTGAAATGTAGCTATATCTGTACCTATATATCTACATAAAAATATTTATAAAGAGAAAAAATATATACACATACATACAGGACATATTAAAATTTATTCTTAAGTAATTTTTACAAGTGTGTGGAACAAAAAGAGGAAGTGTTCATAATTAAGTCAGAAAATTGTGATATTCCAGAGGAGAATATGATGATTCTACCAATGACTAGAATCCTGAAGAAATAAATGTGTTTTTTATATTTACAAATAACATAGTATAAATATTATTTTTAAATGCATAGATATAATCAAAACTTTTAAAGAGCTTAACATAAATTTTAAAAAGCTCTTAAATTTCATTTTAATTCAACTAAAATTTTACCACTAAACTTTGTTAAAAAAAGTACTTATGACAACTTTTTTCAGTTTTGTTTTTTATTCCTGCTTGAACCAATTTTAAGATTCAGTAAGGTTATGTGAGAAAAATATCTCTGCCATTTACGGAGGCTGAAAAACAGTCCCTCAGAAAACGTCTGCATCCTACTCT